TTAAGGATTCACTGACAATTCAAGGCACTGGCTTGCCTTTTTCTCCCTTCCGCTTTCCCCTGAGCTCACGAGCTAATTCCTAATTTAAAGAGGCCCAACTGACTCTGTAATCACGCAGGCTGAAGACTTAAACCCCCGGGTTCAGGGTCTCCACACACCAGAACCCAACTTCCACTCTTGTCCGCTGACTAAAAGGAACGCACTCTTTCCAAACGCCTGCCCCGGCCGAGTGGCAGTTAGCTCCGCCCCTTTGGCTTCTCTAACTTGGATACATTCTCACAGCCGGTTCCGTCGCTATGGCAACGCCTCAGCTCAGGCGACACATCAGCTGGCCTGCACTTATATCGTAACATTAATCAACATTTATGAAACATACATTATAATTAGCTATTTTGTTACAGCCTCTAACCAATGGCAGATAGCAAGCCGCGTGGCAGAGAAGGACGGGCACATACAAGCCGCTCCCATCCTTCTCTCCAGATTCCGTCCCTGTCACGCCATCTTCTCTGTTTTCTTAACCCTTGAGATTATTGTGCTGTGAACATGTGTCTATTAAGGACTGTCTCATGACACACTGGAGGTAAGTGTCATGCATTCCTATCCATCTTTTTCTACACCACAGTCGTGGGGGGGGGGGTGTCACATGAACCCCAAAAACCATTCCGTGGCCGCCCCCTCCCTCCCTCCCTGCCGAGGAAGAAGCCCTTCCTTCTCTTCTCAACCTGTGGGTCTCTCCCCAGATGCGTTTTGGCCTTCACCTCCCAGAAATCCTCACAACTGGTCAACTGGCTGGGATTTCTGGGAGTTGTAGGCCACAACACCTGGGGAGAGACCCACAGGGTGAGACCCACTGCTCTAAGCTAAACACACCCAGCTCTTTTCAGACATTCCCTACAGCCCGTCTCTGGAGATATTCTGGCTTGTCAATATCCGTCTTGAGTTGTGCTGCCCAGAACGGGAGACAGAGCGATTGCAGGTGAGGTCTGAGCAAAGCAGGAGAAAGGAGGCTGTGACTTCCTTGGACGTAGACACCACGTCTCCTCTTGGCACAGCCTAGAACCACGATGGCATTTGTAGCTGCCACATCACACTCTGTTTTTAAATTTTTTTTATTCAAAGCCAAGGAAGAAAAGCATATTTATACAAATTACAATATTGGGATTTTTGGAAAGGAATCCTTAACAAACATGAAAGACTGAACAACACACACCCACATAATAAGAACAAAACTAAAAGAACAACGGATCAACACAACTCTTGCCGCACGCTGATTTTTATCTGTATTCACTCACTTTAAATGCTGCTCTATATTTACTCTTCCGTTTCTAAATATAGTAAACTCATTCCTAAAACCCACAATAAACAAATGTCCCCTCATTGTTATAACTCGTGAATTATTAGTGGGTCCCAATCTCGTTTCATAGAATCCTTGAGTTGGGAGAGACCTCGTGGGCCATCATCGAGTCCAACCCCATTCCACCAAGAAGCAGGAAAATCGCATTCAAAGCACCCCCGGCAGATGGCCATCTAGCCTGTTTAAAAGCTTCCAAAGAAGGAGTCTCCACCACACTCAGAGCAGAGAGTTCCACTGCTGAACAGCTATCACAGTCAGGAAGTTCTGCCTCATGTTCAGATGGAATCTCCTTTCTTGTGGGACCAGGCTTTCTGGTAATCTGGTAGATAGACAAAGGACAAGTGACGACTAGAACTGATGGACTGGACAATGTGGAATTGAATTTACGGACTCTGAGCTGATAAACGTTGAGCACTAGATTGGTTTTAGGGATTGTGATGTATAATGGATTGTTTTTCATTGCTTTTATTACTGTTTATAGATGTTTTATCTTTACCTTGTTATTTATTTATTTACTTTATTTATAGACCGCTGTTCTCAGCCTGAGGGCGACCTTGTTGTTGTACTGGCATCAAATTGTGCCTTTTTGTAAGCCGCCCTGAGTTCCCCCTCGGGGGTTGAGAAGGGCGGGGTAGAAGTGCGATAAATAAATAAATAAATAAATAAAATTGTGGTTTGAAGCCATGGCTCCATTGTGTCCTTGTCTCCTGGGCAGCAGGAAACAAAGTTGCTCCCTCTGTGTTTCCCCAAAAATAAGACACTGTCTTATATTTCTTTTTCAAGAAGACACGCTATGGCTTATTTTCAGGGGATGTCTTATTTGTATATCCATGGCCAGGACTCCAGTGCTCAGGTGGAGAGGAGGAGGAGGCGACCCAGGGCTTGGTCTCTTCTTAGAAGAGAAAGAGAAAAAATAGGACAAGTGCAAAGAAGCCAGAATGGATGTCCAAAGAACTTCTAACTGTGCTAAGACACAAAAGAGACATGCACAAGAAGTGGAAAAAGGGAGAAATCACCAAAGAAGAATTCAAACAAATAGCCAACACCTGTAGGGAAAAGGTCCGCAAGGCTAAAGCACAAAATGGAGCTCAGGCTTGCCAGGGACATTAAAAAACAATAAAAAGGGCTTCTTTTCTTATGTCAGTAGAAAAAGGAAAAACAAGGAGGCGATAGGACCTCTTCGAGGAGAAGATGGGGCAATGCTGACAGGGGAATAGGGAAAAGGCAGAACTACTTAATGCCTTCTTTGCCTCGGTCTTCTCACAAAAAGAGAGTCTTCAACCTCAGCAAGATGGAGTGGATGAGGGATTGGAGGACATCCAACCCCAAATTGGGAAAGAAGTCGTCCAGGAATACCTGGCCGCTCTTAATGAGTTCAAGTCCCCAGGGCCAGATCAACTACACCCCAGAGTATTGAAGGAACTAGCGGAAGTCATTTCGGAACCATTGGCAACCATCTTTGAGAGTTCTTGGAGAACGGGAGAAGTTCCAGCAGATGGGAGGAGGGCCAATGTGGTCCCAATCTTCAAGAAGGGAAAAAAGGATGACCCAAACAACTACCGTCCGGTCAGCCTCACGTCGATACCGGGCAAGATTCTGGAAAAGATTGTTAAGGAAGCAGTCTGCAAACACTTAGAAACAAATGCAGTCCTCGCTAATAGCCAACATGGATTTATCAAAAACAAGTCATGCCAGACTCATCTGATCTCTTTCTTCGATAGAGTTACAAGCTGGGTAGATGCGGGGAATGCCGTGGATGTAGTGTGCCTGGATTTCAGGAAGGCCTTCTTCGACAAGGTCCCCCATGACCTTCTGGCAAGGAAACTGGTCCAATGTGGGCAAGGCAAAACTACGGTGTGGTGGATCTGTAATTGGTTAAGTGGACGAACACAGAGGGTGCTCACCAATGCTTCCTCTGCATCCTGGAAAGAAGTGACGAGTGGAGTGCCGCAGGGTTCTGTCCTGGGCCCGGTCCTGTTCAACATCTTTATTAATGACTTAGATGAAGGGCTAGAAGGCATGATCATCAAGTTTGCAGACGACACCAAATTGGGAGGGATAGCCAATACTCCAGAGGACAGGAGCAGAATTCAAAACGATCTTGACAGATTAGAGAGATGGGCCAAAACTAACAAAATGAAGTTCAACAGTGACAAATGCAAGATAATCCACTTTGGCAGAAAAAATGAAATGCAAAGATACAGAATGGGTGACGCCTGGCTCGAGAGCAGTACGTGTGAAAAAGATCTTGGAGTCCTCGTGGACAACAAGTTAAACATGAGCCAACAATGTGATGTGGCGGCAAAAAAAGCCAATGGGATTTTGGCCTGCATCAATAGGAGCATAGTGTCTAGATCTAAGGGAAGTAATGCTACCCCTCTATTCTGCTTTGGTTAGACCACACCTGGAATATTGTGTCCAATTCTAGGCACCACAATTCAAGAGAGATATTGACAAGCTGGAATGTGTCCAGAGGAGGGCGACTAAAATGATCAAGGGTCTGGAGAACAAGCCCTATGAGGAGCGGCTTAAGGAGCTGGGCATGTTTAGCCTGAAGAAGAGAAGGCTGAGAGGAGATATGATAGCCATGTATAAATATGTGAGAGGAAGCCACAGGGAGGAGGGAGCAAGCTTGTTTTCTGCTTCCTTGGAGACTAGGGCGCAGAACAATGGCTTCAAACTACAAGAGAGGAGATTCCATCTGAACATGAGGAAGAACTTCCTGACTGTGAGAGCTGTTCAGCAGTGGAACTCTCTGCCCCGGACTGTGGTGGAGGCTCCTTCTTTGGAAGCTTTTAAACAGAGGCTGGATGGCCATCTGTCAGGGGTGATTTGAATGCAATATTCCTGCTTCTTGGCAGGGGGTTGGACTGGATGGCCCATGAGGTCTCTTCCAACTCTTTGATTCTATGATTCTATGACACCTTCCTCTCTTCCTACCTCAGTCTTTCCCCCACTTTCCCAGCACCCCTTTCCCACCCTCGTCTTCCCTTTTTCTAGTTCCCCCTTCCTGTCCCAGTCTTTACTATCCCCATCCCCTCTCTCTCCACTCTCCATCCCAGCCTTTCCGAGGTTCCACCTCAATCTTTCCTCCTTCCCCAGTTGCCCCTTCCCACCCTAATCTGTCTTACTTTTCCAGAGACCCCCTTTCCACCTCATTTTCCCACTTTTTCCAAACACTCCTTCCCATTCCAACTTTTCCCCATTTCCAGTCCTTTTCCACCCCCTTCACAAATCAGTCTTTCCCACTTTTTATTATTCATGTACATACAGCATTTTTATTATTACATTTATTATTTTACCCTATTTATTATTATTAATACATTTAATATTTTACCCTAGTTATTATTACTGGAGGGATACGTAAGCACATTTACACTGAAGAAGGTTAGAATGATTTAATCAGAGTGGGACAGTCTTATCTTAAATTAGTTTTATGCAATTATTCAGAAACATTTAACCTATAGAGGCCTCAATTAATGTCATTTTATTGGTATCGATTTTTATTTTTATTCTTGAAATTTACCAATAGGTGCTGCATTTCCCACCCTCAGCCTATACTCAATACATTTCCCCAAATTAGGTGCATCTTATATTTGGTCAACTTATACTCAAGTTTATACAATATGTGGATTCTCTGTGTGGGTTCTTTGATGGGTACGCAGATGTCCACTCTGACTGAAGCTCTTTCCACATTCCATGCATTTATGTGGCTTCTCCCCTGTGTGGGTTCTTTGATGGTTACGCAGACTCGCACTCTGACTGAAGCTCTTTCCACATTCCATGCACTGATGTGGCTTTTCCCCTGTGTGGGTTCTTTGATGGATACGCAGACTCACACTGTGACGGAAGCTCTTTCCACATTCCATGCATTTATGTGGCTTCTCCCCTGTGTGGGTTCTTTGATGGTTACGCAGACTCGCACTCTGACTGAAGCTCTTTCCACATTCCATGCACTGATGTGGCTTTTCCCCTGTGTGGGTTCTTTGATGGATACGCAGACTCACACTGTGACGGAAGCTCTTTCCACATTCCATGCATTTATGTGGCTTCTCCCCTGTGTGGGTTCTTTGATGGATACGCAGACTCACACTGTGACTGAAGTTCTTTCCACATTCCATGCATTTATGTGGCTTCTCTCCTGTGTGGGTTCTTTGATGGTTACGCAGACTCGCACTCTGACTGAAGCTCTTTCCACATTCCATGCACTGATGTGGCTTTTCCCCTGTGTGGGTTCTTTGATGGATACGCAGACTCACACTGTGACGGAAGCTCTTTCCACATTCCATGCATTTATGTGGCTTCTCTCCTGTATGGGTCCTTTGATGGGAACGGAGATGGCCCCTATGAATGAAGCTCTTTCCACATTCCATGCATGTATGCGGCTTCTCTCCTGTATGGGTCCTTTGATGGATACGCAGAGTCCCACTTTCACTGAAGCTCTTTCCACATTCCATGCATTTATGGGGCTTCTCTCCTGTGTGGGTTCTTTGATGGATACGCAAAGTCCTATTTTCACTGAAGCTCTTTCCACATTCCATGCATTTATGTGGTTTCTCCCCTGTGTGGGTTCTTTGATGGATATACAGATGTGTACTCTGACTGAAGTTCTTTCCACATTCCATGCATTTATACGGCTTCTCTCCTGTGTGGGTCCTTTGATGGATATGCAGAGATGTTCTTTGACTGAAGCTCTTTCCACATTCCGTGCATGTATGTGGCTTCTCTCCTGTATGGGTCCTTTGATGGCTATGCAGAGATGTTCTTTGACTGAAGCTCTTTCCACATTCCGTGCATGTATGTGGCTTCTCTCCTGTATGGGTCCTTTGATGGCTACGCAGACTCGCACTGCGACTGAAGCTCTTTCCACATTCCGTGCATGTATGTGGCTTTTCTCCTGTGTGGGTCCTTTGATGGGTACGCAGACAATCACTCCGACTGAAGTTCTTTCCACATTCTATGCAGTTATGTCGCTTCTCTCCTGTATGGGTCCTTTGATGATTACGCAGACTCATACTGTGACTGAAGCTCTTTCCACATTCCATGCATTTATATGGCTTCTCCCCTGTATGGGTCCTTTGATGGGAACGGAGATGGCCCCTATGAATGAAGCTCTTTCCACATTCCATGCATGTATGTGGCTTCTCCCCTGTATGGATCCTTTGATGGATACGCAGATCTCCACTCTGACTGAAGCTCTTTCCACATTCCATGCATGTATGTGGTTTCTCCCCTGTGTGGGTTCTTTGATGGATATACAGATGTGTACTCTGACTGAAGTTCTTTCCACATTCCATGCATTTATACGGCTTCTCTCCTGTGTGGGTCCTTTGATGGGTACGCAGATCATCACTCCGACTGAAGTTCTTTCCACATTCCACGCATTTATAAGGCTTCTCTCCTGTGTGAGTTCGTTGATGTGTAGTAAGAGAACTTCTCCCAGTGAAACATTTCCCACATTCCATACAATTATGTCGCTTCTCCCCTGTGTGTGATTTTGATAAGGAATTGAGATTTTCCATTCTTTTACGTTTATGATTCAAATATTATGCCAGAATTTCACAGATATGTTCTCCTGAACAGGACAAGATTTCCTCTTCTCAGTCTTTGTATTGCTGTAGTCTTCTTCCCTCTTTACCAAGCCCTTCTTTTTACAGCACAATTCTCCCTTTCCTCCTTGAATATGTAGCTTGAAATATGTAGCTTGAAATATAGTTTCTCCAACTTATTTCTTCTTCTAGTCAGTGCTGTGTACTTTCATTTCAGACGTAAGGTAAAGGGCAAAGTGTTCTTCACAAGGTTCATTCAGAGGTTACCTGTCAGAAGAATGAGAGGAAAATGTCATCAGGAGCGGAGAAAAGAAGGATCTCACTGGAGATGAAACACAATAGCCTACTTCTGTAGTAGGGGAAGAAGGGAGAAAGACTTGCCCAACTCAGGGGAACCAACTGCCCAAGGAAACTCTCTGTTCAGATACAAAGGGGGATGAAGGTGCAAGATTCTGTGTATGAGAGATTTCTTGCACTGCAATATGTTCAGAGTGTAACTCAACCTTTGTAAAGGAAGACCTCTAACAATATGGCCAGCACAGAAAGGTCTAAGGTTGCAAAGCATTTCCTGTCTAGATCCCGCTTACTCACACCCCAACTCAGAACTTGAGTGACCACCTGTACAGGCAGACAATTTCAAGTGGTCAGTCTTGGAAGAAAAACGCTTCGTTGTCTTGTGTACATTTCTTCCAACTCAGGAAAAAAACAAACCATTTTCCTGCTCCTCTCTTTCCCGGCACCGTGATCCCTGCCTGCTTCAGGCAAGCCTTATCTTAGAGTGCACTAGGAATCTGAGTGAGTGTTTAAGATTAACTGCTGTGAGTGTTTGCACACTCACTAACCTACACTTTCACTCCTGCATACAGACAACAATATAAAACACACACTAAAGGGGAGGTAATTAGCAGTCTGCAGATGGAACAAACACAAAAACTTCCCATCTCATGCACAAGCTGTGGCATGTTCAGCTTTTTCACGCGACAATTACTCAATTACATCTGCCCCAAGTGTAAACAGATCACTCACATGGAACAGAGGATCCAACAATTTGAGGACAGTATTAAGATCCTTACGGATATTAAGGAACTCGAGCTGTTCTTAGACACCACACACACTGTCCTACACACACAACCCACATCACACCAACATTACGGGGAGGCTCATAAGGAGATCACTTCAGATGTGGACAACCCTCAGGYTTGGAGGAATGTCACCCTTAGAAAGAGACATAGGACCAGGAAGCTTCCTCAGAGTACTTCTGCTCAGCTGCAATTACCCAATAGATTCCAAATTCTCACACAACTAACACCTGACCCAGAAACGCAACATCTTGGGRAAGACCAGAATGGCTTAGATACTGATCAGTGGCTCGTCCTTGATCAGTGTGTGGGGGATAGCCCTCACTGGGACAACGCTTCAYAACATTCACACTTACASATCCATGCAGATGTACCATCCCCAACCATAGACCAGGCGCAACAGGAACACACACAGGAGAACGATAGGCTCATGGAYGAATCTCAATGGATTGTCCTTGACGAATGCACCGGGGATGTCGAGGAGGAGGAAAACACTTTACACCTACACTATTCACATCAACAGGATCACTTTTCTGGGGACCTACACATTACATTGCACAAAAGGGACCCTGTCAATCCTGAAAGTAAGCAGGTCTTGGTAGTAGGCGACTCCCTCCTTAGAGGAACTGAAGCCGTCATTTCCAGACCAGATGGGATGGCTCGAGAAATATTTATTTATTTATTTCGATTACTTATACCCCGCCCTTCTCACCCCGGGGGGGACTCAGGGCGGCTTACAAAAGCGAGGCACAATTCGATGCCTGCATCGCAATAACAATAAAATACATAACATCAGTTCACAAAACAATAAATCTAACAATAACATCAATACACAGACATTGGTTCGTATAGGCACGAACAATCATAAAAACTAAAATCGGCAACAAAACTAATACAAACCGTTGCACCTCATTAATGGTCAGTGTTCCACCATCTCATAGTTCACCTTCCATACCACACAGTCAGTCCTTTCAGTCTTATCCACCTGGTTGTTCATGTCTAATTGTCAGACTGCCCAAAGGCCTGGTCCCACAACCACGTCTTTACCTTCCTCCTAAAGGCGAGGAGGGACGTTGATGCCCTGATTTCCCCAGAGAGTGAGTTCCACAGGTGAGGGGCCACCACTGAGAAGGCCCTGCTCCTCGTCCCCACCAGCCTCACTTGTGATAGCGGTGGGGTCGAGAGCAGGGCCCCCCCAGATGATCTCAGATTCCGAGGTGGGACATAGAGGGAGATACGTTCGGATAGATACGCTGGACCGGAACCGTAAAGGGTTTTGTAGGTCAAAACCAGCACTTTGAATTGTGCCCAGTAGCAAACTGGCAGCCAGTGGAGCTGGCGCAACAGAGGAGTTGTATGCTCCCTGAGCGCTGCTCCTGTTAGCATCCTGGCTGCCGAGCGCTGGACCATTTGAAGATTCCGAGCAGTCTTCAGAGGCAACCCCACATAGAGAGTGTTGCAGTAGTCTATACGGGATGGAACCAGCGCATGGACTACCGTGGCCAAGTCAGACTTCCCAAGGTACGGGCGCAGCTGGCACACAAGTTTTAGTTGTGCAAATGCTCCCCTGACCACCACCGAGATCTGGGGTTCCAGGCTCAGCGATGAGTCCAGGTTCACTCCCAAGCTGCGAACCTGCGTCTTCAGGGGGAGTGTAACCCCATCCAGCACAGGCTGTAACCCTATGCCCTGTTCGGCCTTACGACTGACCAGTAGGACCTCTGTCTTGTCTGGATTCAATTTCAATTTGTTAACTCTCATCCAGTCCGACACAACAGCTAGACACCGATTCAAGGTCTGGACAGCCTCCTTGGTGACGGGTGAGAAGGAGTGACAGATCTGGACATCATCTGCGTAAAGATAACACCGCAGTCCGAAACTCCGAATGATCTCCCCCAGCGGCTTCATGTAGATGTTAAACAACATTGGGGATAGAATTGATCCCTGAGGGACTCCACACGACAATGGCTGTGGGGCCGAACAGGTGTCACCCAGTAACACCTTCTGGGACCGTCCCTCAAGAAAGGACTGGAGCCACTGCAAAGCTGTACCCCCAAGTCCCATATCTATGAGGCGTCCCAGAAGGATACCGTGATCGACGGTATCGAAGGCCGCTGAGAGGTCCAGCAGAACTAACAGGGACACACTCCCCCTGTCCAGCTACCGGCGAAGATCATCTACCAAGGCGACCAGGGCTGTTTCCGTTCCATGTCCCGGTCTAAAGCCAGACTGTGCCGGATCTAGATAATCAGTGTCTACCAGAAATCCCTGGAGTTGTGTTGCCACCACACATTCCATGACTTTGCCCAAATAGGGGAGATTGGAAACTGGCCGATAGTTGTCTAATTGAGTGGGGTCCAGTGATGGTTTTTTTCAACAGTGGTTTTATGATAGCTTGTTTTAAGCTCGCTGGAATTCTGCCCTCCTGTAAGGAGGCATTAACCATCACCTTCACCCACTCTGCCAACCCCCCTCTGGCTTCTTTTATCAGCCAGGATGGGCAGGGGTCTAGGATGCATGTGGTGGGCCACACCTCTCCAAGGATCCTGTCCACATCCTCAAGCTGAACCAATTGAAATGAATCCAACAAAACCGGACAAGCAGATGCTCTCGTTACATCCTCAGAGACTGCAGTTAAAGTGGTGTCGAAACCCGACCGGATCAGCGCAATTTTATCAGCGAAGAATCGAGCAAATGCTTCACAGCGAGCTCCCGAGCTGTCAGGGATCTCGCTTTTCCACGGGTTTAACAGACTCCTGACAACTCGAAAGAGCTCAGCTGGATGGTTCTTCGCCGATGCAATATTGGCCGCAAAGGATGTTTTTTGTGCTGCCGCTATTGCCACATCGTAGGACCTTAGAAAGGTATTCAGATGTGTTTGAGCTGATTTGGTGGGCTTCCGGCGCCACACGCGCTCTAGCCACCTCTTCTTTCGCTTCATTGCTGCTAGCTCCTCAGTGAACCAAGGGGCATGACTAGCTCGGTTACTCGAGAGGGGGCGTTCCGGAGCGATTGTATCGATGGCCCTGGTCATCTCAGAATTCCATCGAGAGACCAAGGTATCTACAGAATCGCCAGCCAGGAAGGTGGAAAGATCCCCAAGAGCCGTCAGGAAACCATTTGGATCCATAAGTCTCCTGGGGCGGACCATTCTAATGGGTCCACCACCCCTGCGGAGGTTAGAAGGTACAGTGAGTCTAAACCTAATCAGGTAGTGATCGGTTCATGGCAACGGAGCGATGGTCAACTCCTCCGCCCCAGCACTGTCACCCCATCCCTGAGTGAAGACCAAATCTAGTGTGTGCCCGGCAGTATGGGTGGGACCAGATATTAATTGGGACAGGCCCATGGTTGCCATGGCAGCCATAAAGTCCTGAGCTGCGCCTGAAAGGGAGGTCTCAGCATGGACGTTGAAATCCCCCAGGACGAAAAGTCGCTGGGAGCCCAACGCCATGTCCGAGACCACCCCTGCTAGCTCAGGTAGGGAGACTGTCATGCAGCGGGGTGGTCGGTACACTAACAGAATCCCTATCCTGTCCCGGTCACCTAACCTAAAGCCGGCACATTCAAATGATGATGATTGTGGGATGGGGCGCCTGATCAGGGGAATAAAATCCTTATAGACCACTGCAACTCCTCCTCCCCGCCCTCCGGGTCTTGGCTGGTGCTGCACAGAGTAGCCAGGTGGGCATAGTTGGGAGAGATTCACCCCTCCCCCCTCATCCAGCCAGGTCTCCGTTATACATGCCAGATCAGCTTGTTCTTCCTGGATTAGGTCTCGGATGATGGAGGTCTTTCCATTAACTGACCTGGCGTTGAACAGCACCATCTTTAACCCAGAGGGGCCATCATCCTGGCATCTCAGCTGTATATTGTCGGGAGAGTTTTTTGGAATCGCCAATACATTCTTATTGTTTCCAGGCCAAATTGTTTGTTGAGTTGTAGAGTGGATAATTTTAGGAATTGCCAATGTTCTATTGTGAATTTTGGGCCAGATTTGCTTTTGTCTCGAATCCTTGGTATGTTTTGAGTTTGCCAATTTATTGTTGTAGATTTTGGGCCGAAATGAGTGGTTTAATCTCCCTTTCCTGTATCTTCCTCTACCTGTCACCACCTCTATATGCTGCCTACCAGGGGCAAAAATACACCATATCACTCAGAGGCTCACTAGACTCCTCAAGCCCCAT